TGAGTGATGAGCTCGCGCTTCGCAGTTGGTGCTCGCGCTCGCCCCTCAGCTTCGGATTCTGTGAGCTTGGCTCGAGACTCGACTTTCGTTTTTGTTATCATAAGTTATGGACCATAACAGTATGAAAGTGATAAAGATGATAAATTATGTTAGTTAAAATGATATGGATAAAATGTATAATTATGCGACTAACCGGTGATCGCGTTGGAAAATGATCGCATTCCCTTCGCTCTCGGCGCCGCAATGTTAGGATGATAGTGATAAGAATGTTAACTTGTATTAGTTTGATGATAGAAATAGTGATATGAGCATGAATATTGAAATAATGTTTATTTTCTTTTTAAATCATACATATAAGATTTAAATATTTACAATCGAACTTATATAATAGTTTGAAAATTCTGGCTGGTTGAATATGTCTTTTTCTTTACTTGAAATGGCCTTAAGTTAAGGCCCTTAACTTATTTGTTATAATTTATTTCTTATTCTCTGTACAAACTTATGAAAAACTAATTTATTGTGAAAAAGGAGAGTCGAAGAGTGCGCGCTGTCTTATCAGTTGGCCGCGCCGCGCAGTGACTGAATATTACTTTTACTGCTTTTTATAATTTCTTACTGTTCACTTTTTTTACATTCTATGAGTTTGCTTATCATTTTTCAAATTTGATGTTAAAATTAACTTCACTTTATTCAGTCATTTTTTAATAATTTATAATTTATCTTTCTTAAAAGAATCGGATATATTTTGTTCAAAAAGGTACATATAGGTTTTCAAATGCGTAAGATATTTACAATTAGATAAAATGGAGAAAAGCTAGCCTGGGCTAGGAATCGAAGTGATGACTTCAAGTGGTAAAAGTTTTAAAAAGGCAGACAGAACAAGTTGAACATAAACTGTAAATCTACAGAATATAAATGCGAGGTGAACTACTGGAAATTCCAGTTTCACTTGGCACAATTCTCCTTGTCATCATGGATTGATGGACAGTTTGTGATAGTAAGGACCGGTAATACAAGCAGCACAAACGGAAGCATTTTATACATCATACAGACCCAATTAATCGTGTTCTACTCATGCTAGAGAAAAACAAAGACCACCATGTGAAAGAGCACGTTTCAATTAGTATACGTACTAATTTTCAATAAGTTATCTCATCGGGAAGGCCATTTCGACAAAAAATGTCGACTTAGACTCGTGGGGTTACGCCCTCCAATTGGACTCGTGGGGTTAACAAACTTACAGTATATATGCACAATGACACGCCTTTCAAAACTGCACTAGCCGATTTTTTGAAACGGCTCATTTTTGTGCATTTCTTGGGCGATTTTTAATGAGAAAAAATGCATATAGATGAATCATTCCATTATTTAAGGGTGTTCCCACATACCAATCCTTATCATATTTGAATATGTTGTAGAGAAGGGCTTGCTGATTCTTTTGACTGCTGGACGAATTCTGCAGACCTCGATTACGGTACTTTCTAGAGCTTCAAAGTCGTTAAAGTCTGCCAGATATGAAATTTCAAAATTTTCAACTTTTGATCTACGCATGCTACAATGACGATTTATAGGCTATAAATTATAATTGTGCAGCTATATAACGCAGGTCCTCTCCTTTCGCGCCGCCTACGCCGCGCTCCATTTGAAAATTCTCGCGACCATGTTTACTTGTTTACCAGTCTCCAGATCATCTTCTTTTGATCCTTTTTCCTGCGAAGAGCGCTGTTTTGATTCAAATTCTAGAGAAAACTTTTGTTAAACTGCTTCTGCTTGTATTTTCCAACTAGATTCGTCTTTTTTCATTCTTTTCAGACGGAATCTAGTTGTTGTAGAGAAATTGCTTGGGATCTTGGCTCTGATGAAGAAGATCCTACAACTCAGGAATCGTTGGAGTCCGGTGAATTTGTCGAGAAGCAACCACGGCGAAGAACTCCCACTTTACGCGATCAGCTCGAGAAAAGTGGCGGTGGCGACCTTTTGGAAGTTACAGTAATATTGAAAGCTTCTTCAGCGAATTGATCAAGCTCTTTCATCCACTCTGATCTTGATCTTCCGTTCAATGAATATTCTAAGAGAATTCTCTTCGAAGTATGTTTCATTTATAAAAACTCTCACCTTGGAAATTGCAATAGGAAGTATTGCAGCATGTTACCCTACTAAACGAGCGAGGTCCTAAATTTTGGTGGAAGACTTCCGGAAGGCCAAACTGCTCCAAGTTAGTTTGATCTTTCGACATCTCGCAGAGAGTGGGGAATTTATCCTTCTTCACGTGATCAACCTCTACTGAATGGCCCATTCTAACTTAATTTGCCTGTGATTACATTTTTGGGAAGAGGGAATACTTTCTTCCTCGATGCTTTTTCTTGTTAAATTTGTCGCACAACCAGCGAGTTCGATCACTTTCGGTGCACATTGAGAGCTATACTGACTACAGACGCCATCTTGGAAGGACTTATTGAAGTATTCTATGTGGAAGCAACTTCCTCCTAGAACTTTGCACAAAACTTCATCTGGGTAATCTGGGACTACAATCTGAGGCAGGGGTTCTCTTCCATGATTTCAAGGCTTTTTCTGTATTGAAACCCTGGCTTGAAAGGATCTGTACTTGATTCGATCTTTTCGAATTCGGGAAAAGTGCAGATCTTGTCGGCTTTTTCGTCGATAAATACTTTATTTTCTTTCCTAGAATTTAAAATTGGGGTCGATCAAGCTTTTTACAGATGATTTCGTAATTTAGCACCCTCTCTAAATTCGTCGATAGGTTATTCTTGCATCTGCAAACTCTGTATTCTGCATCTTCAAAGTCTCTTGCCGTGGCTAGAAAGAAGGATAATATAAAAATTAAATCCATGTTTGAGGAAATGAAAAGTGCCCTAGCTTGGGAATAAAATGCAAATGCTTATTGAATTCAGAATAATGAATGAGAAAGAATTGACAGCACCTGTCAATCAAGATATTTTATTAAGCAAGGGTCAAGGAACTTAACTTTATGAAGTTATTGCTTATTCATAAGTTCATTTTGTTCCATCTTTATTTTGCTGATCCAGGCATCAAACTCTGTTGTTTGAACTCCTGAAGGCGGTAAAAAGCATGCGCTTTGAGATTCTTTCAAGTCTTGTTGAACGTACAGTTAATAATGGAATTTTTGGACATTTTTTGCCGCACAATTTTCTCAAAAATGTCCAAAAATTTGATACACGCTCCCGAAAAAAATGTCCCATCCAAATCGCTTAAAAATTTTTTTTGATGAAAATCTCGGTCGTTTCCTTTCTTTTCCTCGTTCAAAAGACAAGAAGCAATTCTAGGGGCACTAGATAAACTTTCAATTTTAATTTTCTTTAAAAAAAGTAAAATTTTTGATAAGAAAAACGTCATTATTGATAGAAAAACTGAAAATTAAAAATTTTGCCCCAGAAAATGTCCAAAAATTTGATACAAGAACTCTTAAAAAATGTCGCAAGAAAACCCCTTAAAATCGCAAAAATGTCCAAAAATTTGATGTCCAAAAATTCCATAAAAAACTGTACCGCGATTTCATTTTGACATTTTGCAAGCGGTTTGAGGGCGCACGAGCGCAACGCCGAGGGGGAATTTCGTTTTCGGACTTTCGAACTCTCGCTCCGGGCGGAAAGTGGCTCCAACCTAGGGCGCTAATCCCCTCAAAGAAACCCCGCGCTCTTTCTTCTTCGCTGAGTAAATATAACATAAAGAATTTTACAAATATTAAAAAGTTTCAGAGAAAAATTGGAATAATCTATCGATTCATACAATTTCGAGTAAAATGATACCAATATTAAATTTATAAATAAATTTACGATTATTTGGCTTTTGAATCGAGCAAACAACGTTTAAAGACAGTAATCTGTCTTCATATCCAGGAATTTGGACACACTCATTCATTAACTTCTGGATCTGATCAATTTTTCTTTTATATTTAACTTTGTCTTTGGAAAGAATGCCGCATTCTGAATGCGGGATCCTTCCGCCATTGGAAAAAAAGTGAAATCAAGCGTTTAAAAATTAAGCGAAATTATGAAAAGGCCATCCCTTCCTTGTTTTTTCTACTCACTGAGGATCTTCGTCGAGCAGCATCTTCTTTCAAATCTCTTTTTGAAACTCTCTTTTTCAGCGTTCAAAACTTCAAATTATTTTTAACCGATTTCACACTTTTTGACTTCCGGGAGAGAACTGTAAGTCAGCATGCGTATTTATTTGCGTACAAGGCAGTCAAGTTCAACCCAATTTTGTTTATCTTGATGAAAATGTGCCATTTCCGAGCTTTCGCCGCGGGAGATCGTAGCCAAGTTTTTGTCAAAAGATTACTATCAAGTAATTGGTATCGTTTCGAAGCTGCTTTTTCCCTGATTTCGATTATGATATTTCCATTTAGAAAAGACTGATTTCCGTAATAATGATTCTTCAGTAAAATAAAGTCCAGTGAGGGGGGATTAACGTCGCCGCCGGATAAAAAGACAAAAGTTGCGCGATGGCCGCGTGAGAACTCGCACGGCGCCGACACCGTCGATTTTCCTAGGTGCCGCGGAAAGTTAAAAAAGGTGCTAGAAAAAAGAGTTGACTTTCTCGGGTTAGAAAAAAGGCTTGATTTTTGTAACCCAAGAGAGAGTTGCAAACAGTCCAAATGAAATCGCGGTATCTACTGAGACCACCGAGACATCTCTCTCGCGATGTATTGACGAGTGCGACGAGTGCGACGACACAAGACGAGTGCGACGACAATCTACATGTGGATATGGATCCGTATGACGGTCTGCCGCAAATTACACAGGATGTACCCGTCTTGTTGGAGCCTGTTCTTCGTCGGTACGCTGCTGCACCTTACGTTGGGCCTCGTACTGATGCTGATCGAGCTCATGATGTCTTCTACTTGCAGTCTGGCGGGTAGATCTCTTCCAGTGGACCTCGTCGGCCGTTTAATCGACTGAGTCGGGTCGTTATCACTCTGCCAGCTACTCCTCCTTGATTTTCATGTTTTTAATAATCTATCTTTCAAGATTATCTGCGCGGTCGGCCCACTTTGCTGGATGACGATTGGAGTGTGGGTGTTTGGAATCTTCTGCTCGACGGTGGTTACTATGGGCGTTCTTTGGTCGACCGACAGGACTTCGGCTTGAGTCAGACGCTTTTGGGGCACCCAATGTTTCATGGTGATCAATCCCCTGGCTGCTCTTATCTTGTAAGTCTTTCACCACCGTTCTAAATATGAACTTGTTTTTCGATGCCTTCGCTGCTTTTGCTAGAACGTCCTTCAGTTCATCAGTTACTCTCGGCGGGGCTTTCGTCCACAGGTTTACGCTTCTGTGTGCTTGAGCTACGATCCTCGCCGACTGAGCCAGCGGAATGGCTTCACCTTGGTCGTCTCTCTTTTCGACAACCATGATCGGTATGATGTTTTTAACCGATATGCCATGGTCTTGTGGGAACACCACGATGTAGTCTCTGGCTAATTCGTACAGATGTTTAGCTACAATCTCCTTCTTCTCATCAGACATTTGCTCGTTTTTCTGTCTGGTGACTTGGTTTGATAGTTCCACTCTCATCATCGGCGCTGATATCTGGAATTCTTTCGGAAGGCATCCCGTGACTTTTGAGAATACCTTCTTGTATTTCTTGTCTCTGATCTTGGTCATGAGTCTCACCTCCAGCTTCGGATTTTCTTTGACTACTTCACCAAGTACGATATCATCCACTGTTGACGATTCTCGAGCTTCTTTCCTCATCTTTTCCAGTTTTTCCTTGTAGGTCTTCCTGGCATCTGGTTCGAAGTTTTCGTCTGACAGTTCGTGCTTTGTACTTATCTTCAGTACGTTCTGGTGATCATAGCTTGGGGCGACCTTGAACTTTTCGAAAATGATTCTTCTATTGACCATGTCGATTGATGTATTTCCATCCATGTCCGTAACGCCCATTAGTAGTCCGTCGATGCTTTACAAGACTATGGCGTCGCTGATCATCCATGGATTTCCGTTCACCATCAGCTCTATGTCACAAACTTTGTGCTTTGCCGCGAGCTTCCATCTTAAGAGTTGGCAGTAGACTCTTTGAATTCGCTCTAACGGCGTGCACTCGTTCTAGTCAAAGATCATCTTCGCTCAGCTTCAGCGCGCTGTAGACACTCGATGATTCTGTGACTTGTTTCAGCGATTCGCCCTTCCTCTCATCTCTTTTCTCCTGTCTTGCCTTACCATCGAAGTGTTTTCGTTCGCTTGTAATGTACTTGTTGCGGCATCTACATCCCTCCGTGTGAAATACCACCGTGTTGAAGTAGGGGCAGGGCGGTTTTTCCGGCTCGTTTTGGCTTCTTTCGTCCTCTCTTTTCTGGACGTTCTGACCTTCCCCTTTCTTCTTGTCATCCTTTTTCCCCTTCTTGCCTTGCTTCGATTTTATGAACTTCACCTCCTCCGTGACCTCACTCTTCGGTTCGCTTTCGACCTTCCTTACTCCAACGCTCTTTTTGCTCGTCTTCGCCGCCTCCAGCGTCGCGATTGAAAGGAACTTCGTTAGATCGAGCGGGAGATCCTCCGGTGATTTTGTTTTTCCCGATTGAGATCTGTACTCTCGCTCTATCTTCGTAAGCGTTCGATCATCGCAGTGAGTCAAGGCTAACGCTACTGCGGTTCTTGAGATGATGGGCGATTCCTCTTCCGCAAGACTTCTGTTCAGCTTCCTGCCGTCGACGTTCTGCGTTTTCACCTTCTTGTCTTCACCAGCAGCCAAATAGTCTTGCAATGCACCCGAATAGAATAGTGCCAGCTGCTTCAGGTTCGCTTGACCCAGATTGTGCGACAAGTTCCGTTTGAGTTCCCGCGCAAAATCCGTAATCGCTACGTTCTCGTTCGCTATGTCCTGGCAACCGTCCTGATCCTTGGAGATCGAAATAAATTCGTTCAAGTCTCGGTAGTGACCTCCTCGAAGTACTGACTTCTTTATTGATATGATCGTTAGGTCATCCGATCCTAGCGCTGTTTTCATAATCTTGCGTGCTTTCCGTGTCGCTTGTACTAGAAGTTCTGCATCGGATTACTTGTCGCTCTTCAATTTCTCGAAGAATGCTGAGCTTTCTCTCCCTGAGTCCTTGTTGATGTCAGACTCCGTCGCCGCTGGATCTCTGTACTGAAGCCATCTTCTCTTTTCGATGGTAACTTCAGTTCCAGCAATGTACTTCAAGTATTCCTCGTTTGAGGCTGTTATTTCGGCTCTTTCAAGTGCTTTACTCTGCACCATCTTCTCCAGATCCACAAACGTCGTCGGCACACCCAGCTTGTTGTCCTTCGGCGTCAAGTCCTGGCCATGAGCTGTCCATAACCATTTTGCGCGAAGTATCATGTCGCTCGAGATTTACTGGTCCGTTTGTGATTGTGCGAGTGCTTCAATCACTTTTCTTGTCTTCGCCTTGCTCTTGAGGCCCGCTGCTGAGAGCGTCCCTTTCCCAGGGTTGACAATTTAAGTAAGTGATGTACCGCTCATGACTCTTCGGGGAGTTCGAAAAAGTAGAATCAGTCGTGATAAAACTTTCACTTGCAGTTACCACGTGGAAGTGCGAGCCTGCTGCGCCTGCTGATCGAAGAATGCGTGCAAGAATGAGTCGATTTTGTTGTTGTTTCTGTACTTTTCCAATAAATACGGAAAGCACTAGTTTAGTCAAAGTTACTGAGAAGATAGAAGTTGTACTTACCACAAAGAGGTTCTCTAGGAATGACCCGTTGTGGCTCGCACTGCAAAGATTTGCACGAAGATGTAGATAACAGATTGAACCAAGATTGCAACAGCAGCATCGCCGTGGGGTGTTGATGTAGCTTTCCACGTTAATATCCTGAAGTATGATTTTGGCGGGGATAAAGATGATACTAATTGGAAAATACAAGCGAGAAAATCAAGAAAAATTTATTCCCGGGTCGATTTGGCATTTGAACTTCAAACTTCATCAAAAATTTAATGTCAGAATGCTGTCGCTAAGACGTTTTTTTGTATCAGTGCTTAGTTTGAGAAATAATTTAACAATTTCGACGGCGACTCTCTCGCTCACTTACAGTGGTATGTGGAGATGCTGCACCCTTAGCGAGTGCTCTGTTGCTGCACCCCTGACCCGCACTTTTTCTATCGTTTTCTTATAGAAGTAGCAAAAGTGAGTGCTGCGTTTCTGCACCTTTTACCCGCTGTCTAGGGGTGCAGCAACTCCACACACCACTGTACTTTTTTTTAAAATGAGAAAATCGCTTTTATTTTTTTCATCATTTGTTAATGGTGATTTTTAATCAACAAAAACCGAAAATCAATGTTTCAAATTGACTTTGAACGATTTAAAAAAGATCGATGAAATGTTAGATCTCAAAATGGTGATGGAAAGCAAAGAAACTTACAGATTATTATTCCGAAAATATGGACCTCTGTATAATGCAGTTGAAAGTTTCCTTAGGCCGCGTAGAGCCTATGCATAATTCTCGGCTATAATTTATAGCCCTTGGCTATAATTTTTGGAACTGGTTTGCGTTAGTACCGGACAGCCGCTTAAATGACTCGCTCTCTTACGCCCGTATCACCTCTCACTTCTTTTCTGGTTCATCATCATGGCGCTGTTGTTTCCCTGGCTGGTTTACCGAGTCTACTAGCGCTTGAACTGATAATCCGAACACTTTATTCTTCTAATTGAGCAATATTTTGTCCCAACGTCATTCTCCCCTTCGCCAACCTGCAATATCAACACACTCGTGACCAGAAACTGGCAGAACAAAACTGATTTATTCCGTACACCAATTTAACCAACTTCTCAGATAATGCGTAGGACCACGGTGACAACTTGGGCGATTCAAATCACTATAAACAGTTTTTTATGGAATTTTTTGACATCGAATTCTTGGACATTTTAGCAATTTTAAAGGGTTTTCTTGGGACACTTCTGAAAAGTGCCTGTATCAAATTTTCGACAGTACTGAATATGTAACGAATGTCACGAATGTCACGAATGTAACGATTGAACCTAACCTTTGAACTTCTTACCACTTAACCCGCGGAGCGGGCGTTTATCAATTAAAGATTCAATGAAAAATCTCAATTTTTTGTGTATGGCAATGGTAAAATTGAAGAATTTTAGTCAAAAACCTATCTATTTGGGCCTGAAGTTGCCGTCAATTTCAAAAACTTTCAAATATTTTTTGTTTTAGATTATGAAAAATGAGTTTTTCAAGTCTGCTTCTGATCCTTGATTTTGACAACATGTTCAGATGCAGTAACGACTTCGAACGGTCCAATCCAGTCGTATCCTTTGGACTTTGCTGCTTTGGCGACCGGGCGGAACAGAGTAACCTGGTCTCCAGAATTGAGGGGTCGAGCACGATGAGCCTTGTTCAACCTTCTTTCCAGCGCTTCATCCGCGGCCTTGTTGGCGACTTTTTCGAGTGAGTGGAGAAGTTGAAGACGTTCACGGATCATCTTGCCATAAGAAGATGGAGAAGGCGAGCTCAAATCGGGATCGTGGATGGTTTCTTGGACAGTGAGACGCGGTCGGCGACCAGTAACTAGAGAATGTGGCGACTGACCTGTACCAGAATTCTTGTGGCTGTTCATGTAGGCGCACGCGTATGGTACTGCATCGATCCAAGTCATGTTTCGCTCGTGTTGGAGCATGAAAACGAAGGACTTGAAGCTGCGGTGGGCTCGTTCCAGGTTTCCTGTGCTCTGTGGGCGATAGGCAGTGTGCTGTTTTGCGACGATGCCCAGCTGCTTAGTCATCTCATCCATTGTAGCGGAGACTAACGCAGTTCCGCGATCGCTTGAGACGATCTTCGGAATGATCTGATGCCGCAGAACAACTTCGTCGACTATTGTACGAGCAGCATCGATCACGCGCTCGCCGGGAACGACCTTGGCGATGAAATAGCGGGTGAAGCTGTCGAGAATTGTACAAACGAAGCGCTTGCCGTTACATTTGTCGAAGACGGTAAAGTCAATGTAGATGACTTCGAAGGGTCTCTCGCCGCGTTTACAGTGACCGATGTTTGGGGACGAGATGTGACCTTGGTTACCTTCCTTCTTGCCTCAAATGACACACGAGGCGACGTAGTTTTTGATGTCATCATCCATGCTGGGCAACCTATACGATTCTAGAGATTCAGCGACTCGACTGGCGCCTGGATGAGCTGAATCATCATGGGAAATGCGGAGAAGCCGGCGAACATGCTCTGGAGGGAGAACCTGGCGATACTTGCCGTCCTTAACATGGAGCAGAAGATCTGTGCGCTGGCAAATTTTGAAATGCGGCCAGTTGACGCGGATAATGTCGTAGTTGTGATCTTTCCTGTCAAGTTGGATCGACTTTGGCTCTCGCTGGAAGCTGGTAACTGCTTTGATGAGGCCATCGATGCTGAAGTCGGCGCGCTGATCGCTGGCGAGTTTGAAGTAGTCCTCGACGCGGGTGTTGAGGATGAAACTGCCGCTTCTAGTGATGAAAGCACTGGTAAGTCCTTCTGTAAGGAGCTTCTCAGATGTACCAAAAGGGCAACTAACTTGCTGTTTAGTACACCAACTTGGAACGTAGGCGCGCAGACCATTTCCGAAGTCTGCAAACTTCCCGGCTGGCACGTGAACATCCTTGTTGACTGGTTTCTTGAGCCCAAATGGCCGAGAGAAGAAGTCAGCCCAGACGTTTTGCTCACCTGGGATGTATTCCACAATAAACCTGTACGAAGATAGCTCATCCATCCATCGGCTAAGCTTCGCGTTTTTGTGGTCGACAGAATCAATGTACTGGAGGGCTGCATGGTCGCATTTGATGACAAACGGACGACCGCGAAGGAAGTAATCAAATCGGCGAATGCCGAATAAGATGCCGTAGGCCTCCCTTTCCGTCGTTGACCACCTGGTTTCTACAGCTGTGGACCAGCTGGGAGAAGCAGTTCGTGTCGATGCGCTCGTGAAGGCTCGTCTCGAGAAACTCCCGAATAAAGGTCAACCGACCAAGTAGACATCGAAGTTCTGTCCTTGTTGTTGGTGGTTTGAGCGAGTCAACCCCTTGTGCGTGATCAGGATCGATGCTTATACCTTCTGGACTAATTACACGGCCCAGAAATTTGACCGATTTCGCCAGAAAATGGCACTTGCCTGGGTGGAGCCGCAAGCCGAACTTCCTTGTAGCTTCAAACAGGCTGCGCAGCTTCTGTACATACGCGCTGAACGTTGGTGCACACAGCAGTACATCGTCGATGTAGATGTAAAGTCCTTCGCGGTCAGTGATGGACTCGAGTGCTTCGCCAACGCATCGACTGAAGATCTGGCCCGCACACGTCAGTCCAAACGGCATCTTCCCATACTGCCAGGTCTTCCCTCGCCAAGTGAATGCAGTTTTGTTGCGGTCTTGCTCGTCAATGAGGATCTGCCAATATCCGCTACGGTAGTCGACAGAGGCTAAGTACATGTTCCCCGGCCGGATTTCGTTGAAAATTTCGCGGAGCGAGAGCATGCTGTATGGATCAGGGTCCTTCAAGACGCGGTTAAGTGTATCCTTGAAGTTGGCTACTACGCGTGGACTTCCATCTTTCTTATCGACGACGTGGATAGGACTTTTGAAGCCTTTTGGATCTGGGCATGGTTCGATTACGCGGGTCGTGTCCATTTCGTCCATTTTACCGTCGACTGCAGCTTGGTTTCTAAACTGTATCTGGTGCTGCTTGCGCGACGCCAATTTTCCATTTGTAGGGATACGGACTGGATGAATGAACTCGCACAAAGGATCATTGTCGCTGCCAAAGATGTCATCAAACTCGACGCACAGCTTGCTAACCGTTCTGAGTTCTTGAGCATCTTCCCAGGAGGTGGACAGTTTCAGATTCTTCTTCGACTCGAGCCAGGCGCAGAGTTCAGCAGTACTTGCGCTTAGATCAGGTTTGTCTCGATGAGGCGGTTGTTCAGAAGTAACAGTGTCTTTTCTAGCAGTGGAACTCGATTCGACAGCCAGAGACGTATTTTCGCCTCCCTCGCCGTATAAATAAGTACCAGCGCTCAGTAAATAAGTTCCAGACGAAGGTGGTTCCTCAAGAACAAGTAGCTTGGCGTTCGAAGTTTCTCGCGTCGCGTTCCAGGGATCACTGTGGTAGCCGTTGATTCCGAACTTATGAGTCGTTATGTCGCTACCAGGACCAAGACAAAACTGACACAAGAAGGATGATCAATCACCGTGCGACCAATCAAACATGGTGTACAGTGAAAACTCAAAAATTGGCCGGTTTTCAGATCCAAATTTCCGAAAAAAGCGGCCAAAGTTTGAGTTTTTTGCCGGGTAGCCAAGCTTCCTCTTCAAAAAAGCAAAGTTTCAAAATTTTCGAATTTGGGCATGATTTTCACGTTTTTGATGTATTTAATTCAATTTTTTTGCTTGTTCTAAGTCATTTTTATCAAAATAAAGTTATTTTAGATGATTTAAACGCTTCAAAATAGCTTAAAATGGTCAGAAAGACCATAATTTGGGTCTATTTTGATGCAAATTTTTTTATTTTTGAATTTCTGTAAATTTCACTTCCGGAAATTCACAGTGTTGTCATCGACTAAATGTGACATAGATCCTCAGTGATGAATTCTCCGACAGCCTTGCTTTTGCCGTTTACACCGTTGATGACAATGTCCGAGTCGACCAGATCACGGATGAGCTCTGGAGGAACGAACCTGCTTTGCAGCAACAGATCGTCAGAACCGTTGTCGAAGATGCCATCGTTGACAGTGAAAGAACGCTCGCCGATGGTGAGTTTCAGATTGATGAACCACGGCTGAGTCGGAAGAATACAGTTGGAGCGTATGCGAAGAGAATTGCTCATCTTAGGTGCACACGAGTCTAAGATGAGGTTCGAAAATCCTTCGAAGAGCTTGGAAGTGTTGGCGGATCCGTTGGAGCATCGCCCGAAGTTCCGGCGGCTCGAGCTTGGGTTTGGTTTCCGCCATTGCCCTTTTTTTGTTATTTTTGGACTTGTTGTTGGACTGTGTCGCTGAAGTGCTTGCAGTTTTGCCTTCAATCGCATCGAGACGCGTGATAGAGGGCTTGAGCTGCGATTCGAGCGATGGCTTTTTGTTGTCGCCTTGACTGTTTGAGTTCTTTTTGTTCCAGGAGCCGTTCTTGGCGCCGAAAGCAGCAGAATCCTAATTGGTCATGTTAGCCGGGAGACGGTCAATCAGCAACTTAGCCTTGTTGTAGACTTGCTGTGGAGAACGACATGAATCAACAGAGTCGCAGAGTTTGAGCGCGACCGTCGGATACAGCTCGGCGATTTTCATGTAAGCCAGGCATGCGCTGTAGAGATCAGAAAGCTCATGCGCTTTAACAGGGCAAGAACACTTACTCGCAGTTTTAGGTACTACTCCGGCCTCGACTTTGACAAAAGCAGCGGACGAAGCAGTGATGTCAATGACCTCAGCCTTCTCGGCTTCGGCATTTTGGCGATACAGGCGCTCTACTTGACGATAAGCACGCTTCTGTGCTTCGCTGAGCTCGGAAATGAAGGCTTGGAGGCCCTTATTCTTCTGGAACTTGACGTCGTGCGGTCTTCGTAGCTCCTGGAAGATGCTCAGCTTGCTACTAAACATGGTTTCGATGGCTTCTAGCAGCTCGGCTACTGTGGTCGTCTTTAGATTTTGGCGATGAAAGGACTGGTTGACCGACGCATCGAAGTATTTCTTGGCTGTACGGACCAAGACCTTCTCTGCTTCTTCTTTTTTATCATCATCCAAGTGGTCGATGTAGTCGACTTTTGCCTGTCTGATCTTGGCGATCCAAACTTCTACTTTGTCGGCATCGCTCAAGTCAGTGGTCTTTTCAAGATCGAATACATGCCTGATCTCGACGAGATGTGCAGCTGACTCGCCAGATTTGGCTGGGGTAGATTTCATGGACTGCAACTGCGCGGAGATGATGGCGAGACGATCGGAAGCTTCTTTGACGTCGGCGGTCTTTTCCGTGTCAGTAAAGTTGGCGCCGATGAAATTGCCGAATTCACCAACCCATTTCTCAAGGTTGGCTCGACTCGCGTTTTTCAAGTCATCAATGGGCATGGAGAGTTGCCATAGAACTGTCATCGCTGCTGGTGAGAGGTGCGCGGCGCAGCGAGGTCAGTAAGTCCAAGATTCACTTGTTGAACCCTTTTCAGAGTCCGTTCGGAGGTGGCGGGAGTGCTCGTTGAGATCGTGCGATGAAGTTGATCGGAATCAGCAACGGCAGCGTAGACTTGTTGTTCAGGTGGTGGCTAAAGTTGGAGCGAGGACACTGCTAACCGACTTTTCTACCTGCGATTACCCCGGATTAGGGGTAATTGAGTTAGGGTTAGTTTGGAGAACTTAAAATCCTTGTCTAGGGGTAATTGATGAGCAAATGCAGCGAAGAGCGCCACGAAGAAGTTTCAAGTCGTCGAATTCTAGAGGTGGTCCAGAAGAATGTACGTGGTCGGCTTAACTTGCGGGCAGTATCAGCGAAAAAGGTTCGTGTACCTGCGTTGACCCCGTAAAATAAGCTGGTCAGGCTTTTATTTTACTTTTAGGGGCTTTGAAGAGCAAATGCAGGCGTTCGAGTTCACGATCTGCGGCAAAGAAAGAAGCACCAGTAGTTCAAGTGGTCCGAGAGCGTGGAGTTGAGCGGTTCTAGAATCTAGATGGCTGGAAGTCTGAATTCACGCCAGTACCAGACAGCGCTAGAACAGTACCTGCGGTGACCCCGTAAAATAAGCTGGTCGGGCTTTATTTTACTTTTAGGGGCTTTCAAGTGGCGTGCGCAGAACTGCTTACTGTAGCCAAATGGACCCAACGGACGTCAAAGCTCGAGAATCTCCCAGTCGATCGGCCTGGCCGAGTGGTAGGAAAGGCGATCTGAGGATGTGTTACCGGTCGGAACCAGTAATTCGATTTTTCCAGTGAAGAGTCGAGGTTTGCAAACTATTGTTCACCAGTTGATAGGTCAGGAATAGCTCCTGATTCCCACTACACTAAGTATCGTTGCTGCTCTAATAGATCCTGCGGCTCTCTAGAATAATCTTCGAGTATAACTGGAAATAGGTGTGTATTTCAAGTTGAGTTAGATAGAACTGAGTGCAGTGCAAAACAACGGCGGCGCCTCGATCCTTATCAGATCATAACGGCTTCTTGCTGACCTAACATTGCCCTTAATAGGACTTCCGTTTCTCTGCTTCGAGTTTGATACGCTCAGCGCGAATGACGCGTAAGCGCTGAGAAGAACTTCACATGAGGTCCGTGAAGGTGTACTCTCTCTCTGGGCAAATCAACAGGTCGCACCGACTCGCAACATATCTTTGCGCTATCATATTTTTCTAGGCGTCAGATGACTTAAAAAATCATGCTTTTCTCGTTATTATTTATATTATTGCATTTTCTCGCGTGTCTCTTATTCTTTTTAATCAATCAATAGATTTTAGAAATTTTATGAGCAGCTTACAAATGGTTCGTAAATAAGAACAGTAAAAAATGCTGTGAGTTGGGAAGCGCTGTAGTACTTATTTCTATCAATGACGTTTGCACCATTTACAGTTAACTCGCACAATTTGGCCCCGCACAATTCGGCCCTTTTTTCGAATTCCGCTAAAACGTTAGAAACTCGTACAATTTGGCCCCGCTGCCCTCTTCACCAAACTAAAAATAGGACAAAACTTTTATTTTATAGATATTTATTGTTTCAAAAAAGACAGAATTGAAGACTGCTTTGTTCTCTCCTGGGTTTTGATTAACTGACAGTTAATCAACCGGGGCTTAAGGGATCCCCCCTGATTTGGCCAACTTTGAGGTCGAACTACTTTTTTTGGGCTTAGCTATCTTAGAAGTGAGGGGATTTTTTTAAAGCTTATTTCTTCATGAGCAATCACTTGTATGGAAATCTAATTTGAAAAGGCGAATCATCTCTAAAAATAGCCGTTAAGGCATTGATAGTCGCGAAAACCCTAGTTTTTGGCCATTTTCGAAATCGATACTTTTTTCCCTCTGATATATTTCCCCGAGTTTGTTCTTAAAACCTTTCCTGTGCCCGAAACTACAATTTCTCGTACAGGCATCTGATTATGTCAAGGATTGAAGATTTTTCTTTACGAAAACTTTATCGACTTATTTTGGCCATTTTCTATGCTCTGTAGCGCCTCTTAGTGGCTAAATATTGCATCGAAACTATTTTTTCCTGATTCAACTTCGTCTAAGCTATCTATAGAGCCCTCATTCATATGAATCTGTCGACTTTGAAAAGTCAAAAATTTCGCGAATTTTTTCTAAGAAAATTTTTGGCAAAAATAAGCCATTTTCAAAGCTCTGTCACGGCTCTTTACGTGGCGTAATCCCCTTGACATTATATATTAAAATGATCCTCAGACAATGGAGATTTTGATAGGTTAATAGATTAAAGAGTTTTCTCAGAAGTCGCACAATTCGGACCCGCACAATTCGGCCCTTTTTCGACATATAGCAGAAATAAAAAAGGGCCAAATTGTGCGAGTTAACTGTATTGTAGTAAGCGAGCTAGCCCCTGGCGCGCTCATTGCGCACGTGACATGGGAGCAGCATGCGAGCGCACGTGACGCAGCGCTCAGAAAACCAAAAAGTTCGTTTTAATTGAACTTGACGAAAAATAACCGCACTCGCGGAAATCCGCCGATTCTGCCGTTTACAACGAAATTCTTGGAAAATAACGAAATGCACGGAAACCTACGGAATTGGCGGATAAGTATATAAACTGTTCACTGTTCAAATTTTTCACTTACACTCACAGAGATAAATAGAGTGCCAATAAACAACAAAATACAAATTTTTGTTTCCCTTTTTCTTTTGTCACTTGCGTAATAGAAGCAAGCAGTACAAATTGGTGACTGATAAAAATGGCGAGAATTAAGAGCAACAACTCCTGTTAATAACGATTCCCGAATACGATTGAAGAGAGCTGTTGTTACGATCGAAGAGAGCTGTTGACACGATTTTTGCTGATAAATTTGAAGGACAGGTTATAAGGTCCTTAATTACCAATTATATCCAGGGTAAACCTAAGCAAGCGGAGTTTAACCATAACTTAAACCACCGACAGGTGAACCTTTAGGATCAGTTTTTGCACTTAAACGGACCAATTTTTTTGAAAACAATAGATTTCTCTGATTACTTCAAGAATGGCTGAAACTTATTTCAAGATTGTTCTCGATCTGAACAGAACGGAGCTTGTGAAAATCTACGATTTACTTGATGGGCGAGTCTTTCCAACTCCCATTCCTATGAGTGATAAAGCTTCCGTGGTTGCAAATATCCTTTATTTGGACGATTCTATCCTTGGTCGCGGAAAGAAATACTTTTTCAAAAAAGACAAAGACGGCTTTGTTGGATATCTACCCGAATTTGCCACCGATCATCCAAATGTGGCAGATTCGATTGAACAAAAATATGCGAAAAGACGCCACCGACTGGATCTCGATCGAATCAAGACATCTAAAGCAGCCAAAGATATCAACTCCTTGATCGCGAATTTACCAATCACTGATAGCGACATTGAGGACGAGCTCGATTTGTCCGACGATGATTCTGTTAATGAGGCGGAGGCGACGGTAATTCCAAATGCTCAAAACACAGGCAACCGCCCAAATATCAAGAAGGAAAAGAAAGAACCAAAGCCACGAGTGCAAAATCTGCAGTAAAACCAGCTCCAGCAATGTCGACGTCAATGCCAACATCATCAACATTGAAAGTCAAGCCGCCGAGATATGATGCAACTATCCCTATCGCTTCCTGGCTAAAAAACCTCGATATTTTCGCCCACTGCTCAAAATTGCAAGACAATGAAATATTAACAGTGGCGCTTAGTACATTACTCAATGAATCAGAAGGGACTCGCATAATCGAGAGCTTGGAAGATGAAGAGTTAAATGACTTGGCAATGTTCAAAAAACGACTTGTTACGATGCTTGGAAAAACAGCTGACTTCTACAAGAGTGAATTCAAGTCCTTCAATCGCGGCTCAGACAGCTTGGGAATGTGCCTCAGCAAATTGATAAGCCTCTACAAACAAGGCTATGGTCAGAAAATCTCGGCGAGAACGACAAATAACTGATCATTGAGCGATATGCTGAAGCCCAAGATCAAAAATCCGTGAATAACTTATGCGTGAGAAATCGGAACTGACGTTGGAAAATATCGCGATTCGATCAAGTGAAATCGATAACAGCATGCCTAAACGTGATCTCAATTTCAGCATCCAAGCTGAATCAAAAAAGATGAAATGCAGGAATACATCAATCAGATGAAAGAGCTGCTCAAGAAACACTGATCAACAGACGACAAAAGTCCAAAAAACAAGAGGAGAGGTAAACGAGCTCGCCTTGATTTCGAGAAACTAAGAGGCCACTGCTTCTCCTACTCAAAGAAAAGGACATGTCAATATGCTTCAAAAAACCAAAAAGTTCGTTTTAAACGAACTTGACGAAAAATAACCGCACTCGCGGAAATCCGCCGATTCTGCCGTTTACTACAAAATTCTTGGAAAATAACGAAATGCACGGAAATCTACGGAAATGGCGGATAAGTATATAAACTGTTCACTGTTCAAACTTTTCACTTACGCTCACAGAGATAAATAGAGTGCCAATAAACAACAAAATACAAATTTTTGTTTCCCTTTTTCTTTTGTCACTTGCGTAATAAAAGCAAGCAGTACAAATTGGTGACTGATAAAAACGGCGAGAATTAACAGCAACAACTCCTGTTAGATGAAAGAGCTGCTCAAGAAACACTGAACTACAGACGACAAAAGTCCAAAAAACAAGAGGAGAGGTAAACGAGCTCGCCTTGTTTTCGAGAAACTAAGAGGCCACTGCTTCTCCTACTCAAAGAACAGGACATGTCGATATGCTTCAAACTGTAAGTATGTCCGCTCTAATGGGACAAATTGTGAGTCTTGTAATTCCTAGATGAAGACTGGTTTATTCTTGGCGACGTGCGCTTTTAAATAACGTAAGAGTAAACAGTGACAGGAGCGGCAGAGAGTGACAGTTAAACAGTAAAAATGCATTCAAGCACATTTTCTCCCATAACTTTCCCCTTCATTGAGAATTAGATGATGGCCTTGAAGGCGCTGAGTGCTGCTTTTTCTAATTTCTTCCGATCTCTTGGTTTCAACTTCAGGTAGGCGATGATAGCCGGGGACCCATTCATCAATGTTGCAGACGGCCTTGGGTAAGCGTTTGATTCGAGTACTTGTTGCGGGTTGCATATGATTGAACAGAAGATGGTCGAACGAGTGTTTCCCAACATGTATCTCACATCGTAGTCGATATCCGAAAAGTGATGGTATAGATCAAGAAGGCGATAGTTGTTCATGGCGATGAGTAGATCGATTCTCTGATCGCTCGCGCTACAGTCCATTTGAATGATGGCACGCCAGGCTTCCTTGATTTTGCTCGCTGTTCCTGTGTTAAGAGCGTCCGTCAGGTTTTTCTGAAGTCGAGGAGGGGCAGGTCGAAGCGTGAATGAATTAAAGGGGCGCAAATTTTCATGCAAGCACTGCATGAATCGTCCATTTTCGCTCGTGCCTGTCAACTTTCTCCAGACCGTTTTGCATTTTTGTTCTCCCGCCTTTTTGATTGGTTCGCTGTTCTGGATCATCAGGTTGATTCTGTCGTAATGCTCCATTTCCAGCATTTGTTGCACGTTTGCGACTGGTTGGTTGGTTGTTGATGCTTGGTTGACAGTGGGTTCTGTAGCACCTAGTTTTCTTACCGACTGGGAGGTGCTCTCCCCTGCATCAAGAATCGCTTCGTCGTTCCCGACGGCAAGACCAACAAGGTCCGGATCGTAATACTTTACGATATCTCCGTTCTCGGAGTTTTGGCTTTGCCCGCCAGTAAGAACCTCTAGGATATCGAGGTTATCTTGGTCTGTTCCGACCATTTTTCGAACTTCGAAAATTCAAGCAAAAATTTTTCTCTTTTTCTTGCTTTTTTTTGAATTAAATGAATTTGGACGTTCTTTTTATGCCCTTGCATTTACATACTTTGCCGGTAGTACATAGACCGTCAGACACTCCGAAAACGCTGATTTTTGACTTTTACTGGCATCGTGACTATTAGCTAACGCTTGCCTAGGCACTATGTTTGTCGAGTGTCTAAAAGAAAAATCTGAATTCTAAAAACTTTTATCTCTTTTTTTTTTGAATAAATATACTGCAAAAAGGGTAAAATTTATCAGTAAACCTATAAAAACAAGTTACTTGAACAAAACAGATTTCACTGAATTTGAAGACTTTGGAACTTATCTTGAATATTTGCTGACCCCTGGCGGCCAGTTATGTTTGCCGAGTATTTTTAAGAAGACAGATTCTCTGAGATTTTCAGAAAATCTAGCTTCATTTTTCCTTTGAAAATGGAACGAGAATTTATGAATTTAACCTTGCGAGCTGAGGCCGCCAATGAAGCGGCTCGCGTTATCGATGATATCAAATCAGCCGTTGAAATAGATTACGGGAATCTATCTGCTGAGATTTATGCCGCTAAGGTTTTTCTCATTGATGAAGAGTGAGTACTATTTTATTATTTTGATATTTATAAATATTGTTAGTGTTGACTTTGATGGAATGCTGCGAATTGTTGATGATTATAATTCTATAATGCTTGGATACAAAAAGATTCAGAAGGAATTTATGGTTGGTTATTTTTCATTTTCAAAATAAGTCTATTTTAAGTTTGCTGTCCGGACTTTGCTAAGCAATCCTGTCTCTTCGATTCTTTTGCGTGAAAAAACGGGATTTTTTCGAGTACTTATGGAGATTCGTATGTTACGTAAGGATATTCAAGGTCTCAAAGATGAAGTAAAAAAGCGATTCGAACACTTTTTGACTGCAGATTCTCTGCCTAAGGTTGATGCAGACGATTGTTTGGAACAAATGACTGGTTCTGATTCTGAATAAAAAAAATGCCGCGAATGATTTTATGTTCGTTGTTTTCTTCTATTTTTTTTTGTTTCATGCCTGAAATGGCTGAAAATTTGTATTTTTGTATATTTTTTTTTTCATTTTTTATTTTAAGTAAGCTAGGCTGGGTTTGTACATGAATGAGCTAAGCGTAAGTAAGAGTAAAACTAGGTATTGAGATAAAACAAATTTGGTCGGATTTGGAGACAGCAACATGAAAAATTTATGATCCTGGTAAAGCGCGATTCCGTTTCTAATTCTTTCTTTTGCTTAAGTTTATACATGCAAAAAAGACTACTGTCAGAAAGTTCAACTAAGACTGACTGCAAATGATCACGATCTTCGGCTTTCTCAATTGATAGTAAAAGCTCTATAACGTGATTCCGAAAATCCGGAATGGTTGTTTCTTCGTGAAAGTTATTTGAGTTTTGGATTGGTTGCTCAATAACTGCATTGTTACCTGGTTCATAGGGAGATCGGGCGGAGAATGCGACAGGCATCAGTTGCTGCTGCACCGGCGATTGAAATGACTGTAGCGGGAGCATTGCGCTATTTACATATTCTTCTTCTTTTCGTTGAGTACGCATTGAATCAGGCGGTGGTGGTGGCGGAAGCGGTTTAACACATAAAAAGTTAGTAGCAGGTGTTTCTGAATAATCGGAAGACTCGAAAGAGTCATTTCTATTTCGGTTCATTTCTGTTAAAAGGGTTAATTTTGATAAAAACTTTTTCTCGAATTTTCATTACGTGAAAAACTCGACGTTGTAAATATGGGTTCATGTTCTTCGGAAATGTCTTCAAGCTCACGTGATTTTGTCATTGGACTATTTTCGGGCCGTCTTGGGGGGAGCCGTGTTGGGTGCATTCTATCATGGCTAAAACTCTGATTCGCGAAATTTCTCTTTACCGGGTTTTGCTGATTATTTTTGGGTTTCAAATATTTCCGACAAATACAACTAATCTTAGTGAGTCCCTTAAGACCGAAAAGGATTGATGAGCCCAAAAATTTGAATATTTTCCAAATACCAATTACAAGTGATTTACCTAAATTAAAGATCCATTGATATTTTGCGCAAATTCCGATAATTATACCTAAAATTATCACTCCAATTACTACAAAACTTATATAAAGAGTCTTGTTTGAAATTCCGAAAAAGTTAGCGATTTTAGTTAACGTATCTGTAGCTTTTTTTACTCTAACAAATGATTTGTCGATTTCCGTTTGATAGTCCTTTATAATGTCATCAACTACGCTCTTATTTAGGTAATTGTTGAGTTGGCTTGATGTTTTGAATGACCAAAAATTATCTTCAATTTCTTGATGAAGGCTAAATTCTAGTTCTTTCATGCTTATCGTCTTTTCAGCTTTGTTCAGGCTGGTCCCGCCGGCTTTAACAACGAATCTAGCGCGTTTACATATGACCATCTGATCAAATTTCTGCCGTTCTATTGTTGTTATATTACTTTCTGATTTAAAAGTTTCGAGCTTTTGGACTTCAGGAAGCTTGAAGTCTTCCTTATCAACAATTTCGTACGTGTTAAAGAAACTGACTAATACTTCTTTTAAGGATAATTTTGACGTAAACAGACAATCATTGTTACTAGAAAAAACTTCAGATGTGCAATAATTATGTATCTGTCGAGTAATTAGTGCAGTGGCGCAGTCCGAGTTAACCCTAACTGTATCAATGCTACAGAATCGATACCCTAAATAAGGTACAGTAGTACAAAGAT